CGGTGCGCACCGACCCCTCTCGCCCTCCAGGCTTCAGGAGAGCCCCAGCGCCAGCCCCACAAGGTCGGGGGACAGAGGGAGGCGGAACGCCGCCATCCCGCTGTCTCCCGAAGTGGTTTGGAGGCTGACGGCGGGGAGACCCCGCCGCCGGCCCCGCAAGCTCGGGGACAGCAGGGAGACGCAGCGCGCCTCCCCGCTGTCCCCGGACCTGATCGCAAGGCGGGCGGCAGGGAGAAGAGCGCTCCCCGCTGCCTGCCCCCAGCCCGGGGACAGCAGGGAGACGCAGCGCGCCTTCCCGCTGTCCCCGGACCTGATCGCAAGGCGGGCGGCAGGGAGAAGAGCGCTCTCCTGCTGCCTGCCCCCAAGCCCGGGGACAGCTGGGAGACGCAGCGCGTCTCCCGCTGTCCCCGGACCTGATCGCAAGGCGGGCGGCAGGGAGAAGAGCGCTCCCCGCTGCCTGCCCCCAGCTCCGGGGACAGCTGGGAGACGCAGCGCGTCTTCCCGCTGTCCCCGGACCTGATGTCAAGGTGGGCGGCAGGGAGAAGAGCGCTTCTCCCGCTGCCTGCCCCCAAGCCCGGGGACAGCTGGGAGACGCAGCGCGTCTTCCCGCTGTCCCCGGACCTGATCTGCAAGGCGGGCGGCAGGGAGAAGAGCGCTCTCCCGCTGCCTGCCCCCAAGCTCCGGGGACAGCTGGGAGACGCAGCGCGCCTCCCGCTGTCCCCGGACCTGATCGCAAGGCGGGCGGCAGGGAGAAGAGCGCTCTCCCGCTGCCTGCCCCCAGCTCCGGGGACAGCTGGGAGACGCAGCGCGCCTTCCCGCTGTCCCCGGACTTGATGTCAAGGTGGGCGGCAGGGAGAAGAGCCTCTCCCCGCTGCCTGCCCCCAAGCCCGGGGACAGCCGGGAGACGCAGCGCGTCTTCCTGCTGTCCCCGGACCTGATCTGAAGGCGGGCGGCAGGGAGAAGAGCGCTTCTCCCCGCTGCCTGCCCCGCAAGCTCCGGGGACAGCTGGGAGACGCAGCGCGTCTTCCCGCTGTCCCCGGACCTGATCTGAAGGCGGACTGCGGGGAGAAGAGCGCTTCTCCCTGCCGCCCCACAAGCGCCTGGGGGGGAAATAATTTTTTTTTCTTTATTTCCCCCCCAAAAAACTTGATGCGTCCTATGGGCCGGTGCGTCCTATGGTGCGAAAAATACGGTATGTCAGCAAGTGAGAGGAAGCTGCCCTACACCAAGTCTGGTCCATTGAGCTTAGTATGAATAGCACTGACTTTCTAGGATTTCAGGAAGGCTAACATGGAGGCACTAGGAACTGGTCCTGAGACTTTGGCATGTATTGTATCATTGAGCTATTATCCTTTTATCATGATGATGAAAACGGAGGGTCAAAACTATGCTGCTGTTGCTGGAAAGGCACCTGCAAACTGAGTTTGGGGCCTGAATGTGCAAGGCACTTCCTTCCTTCCTTCCTTCCTTCCTTCCTTCCTTCCTTCCTTCTTTCCTTCCTTCCTTCCTTCCTTTTCAGTCCACTGAGATGTGTAGACTACAGCTGCCTAGTCTGAAGTTCTAAGAGGAACCAGCTGCTTTGCATTTTAACAGTTCAGCAAAAGTGCTATATTTGGATGAACATGCTATCCTTGTTTTCAAACCCAGAACCTGAGTGTAGACTCTGTTGGTGAATAACTGGAAGGGGGGGAGTACAGGACAGGTAAGATAGGAGTCTCTGCTCACGGCAGAGCCACAGAAAAGTAGCGGCGAGATGGAACAACCCCTGAATCCACCCCCACCCCACAATTTATGGGTAAAGGTCTTGTGTGCATGCCTTCATCATGCTGCTGGGGAGTATCTCTGGCAGCAAAGAGCATCATGCAGAAACTCACCCTTGCCTACTGGGGCAGGAAGGGGACATCCTATGATGTGTATTCTCAAGCCAAATCTTTCCCTGAACAAAGTGAGGCTACCCATTAACCACTGCAAAGATTAAAAGTGGAGTGGGAGTTAGTTCCAAGGGCATGTGCTCTGTGGCACTCATCCTTCAAGCCCATTTCCACCTGATAGTTTTCCTGCCTTAGCAGGTCAGGATCCCCACACCCTGCCTTCTGCCGCTGGTAGTATTTTCCAGCCGGTTCTCGGCAACAGAGAGTCTAAGGACCCTTAAACCAGTCTTCGCCAACCAGGTGCCCTCCAGACGCTTTGGATTTCAACCTCCAGCTGGGGATGGTGGAAGTTGCAGTCTAAAACATCTGGAAGGCTTTCCTATGTATGTACCCAGGAAAAACAGTTTGCCATTTGAGTTCCACATCCTATCTATGGTTGCTTTGGAGAGAAGCGGATGTTTTAGTCTCCCTTTTGTCCTCAATGTGCCTGTTGAGGGGATAGTTTCTTCTGTTGGCTCCCATTTGATCTCAAGGAGGCTCACAGTTCAGGGGTTTCCGGGTTCAGTCCCTGGCATCTTCAGGTGGAGATGTAAAACAACAATGACACCCCTCCTGTCTGAAAACCACTTCCAGAGTAGACTACACTGTGCTTGATAGACAAATAATTTGACTCTGGTGTAAGGCAGCTTCCTATGATCCAATGGCTCTTCTGTCCCTGAAGAAGAGTTAGGATTTGATAACCCGCTTTATCACTACCCAAAGGAGTCTCAAAGCGGCTAACATTCTCCTTTCCCTTCCTCCCCCACAACAAACACTCTGTGAGGTGAGTGGGGCTGAGAGACTTCACAGAAGTGTGACTAGCCCAAGGTCACCCAGCGGCTGCATGTAGAGGAGCGGAGACGCGAACCCGGTTCACCAGATTACGAGTCTACCGCTCTTAACCACTACACCACACTGCAGGCATTAATCCTGGTGAGGATTAGCGCCTGCAGAACTGCCAGCTGCCATCAGGGATATTTCCCATTTGGCACAGGGTGTTTGTATGCATCAGTGGTAGCTGGAGATATTTTGATGGAAGATGGTGTGCTTGAACCCCAATTTTCCTGCAAGGAAAATTCCACAAACTGGTTCATTTTGACCCTACCTGAAATGATGGTATAGCTATTTTGAGGACTTGGGTGATGAGAAGACATCATCAGATTGTGCCTAACTGGAGTGCTATTGCCTTGTTGTCCGTTGGTCCTAACAGTGGCTTCTGTGGCTTCCTAACAGTGGGAGCAAGCCTCATACTGAGTAGCTGGGTTGAAATTTGCCCCCACTGAAACTATTAAGGCATTTTTTTTAAAAAAAGAAACTTAGAACATCAAACCAACTAGAGCCCTAAATGGATACCAGATGGCAGACCTAGAATCCAGCTGCTGCTGTTCCAGATATCTGGGTAGCATGGCAATCCAAATGGCAGCAGATGGCTGTGGCGCAGGTGCTCACCCACACCCCTTGGGTAGGGAAGCAGTCATGAAATAGGGCATCTAAGGATGCACTGCACTCCACTGCCAAAAGGATCATGAAGCTGAATTTACGTGGTCTCTGCTTGCAAATGTTAAGCAGTGTCATTTGAAGCTGTAGAGTCATGTGCAACCCAAAAGATAGGCTGTTTTGTGGTTTATGTGCTAGGTTCTTGACAACGTCTGTCCCACTCCTCAGTTGCTGGGCAGTGAGGTGACTACATTGCAAGAAATGGAAGATGATCAAAAATGAGATGAGAGCTTGGTGCAATATACCACTTAACACTGTCTTGAGACCTGCCAGTACTCAGCTGAAATGGACTGGGAGGTAACTGAAGTCTCAAAATAATTAGCCCCTCCTGAGGCAACGTTGAAATTTAATCTATTTCTGGGGTGTTGTTGCCAAAGAGAGCACAGCTCATGAAAACTGGTCCCCAAGCCTTCAATGGATTCACAAATCTTTTATCACCTATGGGCAAAAGCAGATGTCTTCTTCCTAGATTTGAGAAACCAAGATAGATGGAAAGCCCACTAGGTTTGGGTTGGATGATGGAATATATTGTTTGCTGTAATTAAAAATTTCCTCTTCCATCTGGGGTGGTTGAGTGCAAGTTTTAACATGTCTTTATCACATTTGTATCTCATTAGAGGAGCCTCATGTGCATCTCAAAGTAAGCATGGCGTACATTTGTCTCGCCACCAACCCTCTTATCCTTGCACGACAGTGAGTTAGGTTAGTGATCGACCTAAGCTCAACCAGTGAGCTTCATGGCTGAGTGAAGATTTGAATCTGGGTTTCCCTGATCCAAATCTACCACTTTATCCAGCACAGTATGATATTGCCTATTCCGAATAGCAACTCTTTAAGGCTTAGGCAGGGCTCTTTCCTGGGTTTGCTACCTGGTGTCATTTTTAACAACAGGAGACACTGGAGTTCGAACCTGGAACTGTCCTTATGTAAAGCGTGTGCTATGCTGCTGAATTAGGACAATGTGGAGCCCGTGAGTGCCAAAGATGCTTGAGGGTGACCTTGTTAGCCCTCCTCCTGTTGGGAGTTAGCTCGTGTGGAAGAGTCAGTTCCAACTGGGACTGCTACAGGGGCAAAAGCCCCAATCCAACTCGGCCCACCCACAGCAGCTATTTGCTAATCAGCTATGCAAGCCTGAGTTCTGTAAAAAATATATCAATTAGGTCACCAGCCAGTCAATAGCAGGTCATGTTGGACTGAAGTTCGGACAAACTTTCTGACAGCAAGAGCTGTTCAGCAGTGGAACAGACTCCCACGAGAGGTTGTGGACTCTCCTTCCTTGGAGGTTTCTAAGCAGAGGTTGGATGGCCATCTGTCATGGATGCTTTAGCTGAGATCCCTGCATTGCAGGGGGTTGGACTAGATGAGCCTCGGGTTCCCTTCCAGCTCTTAAGATTCTATGATTCCAGGACCTTGGATAGCTCCTGCTCTGAAAAGGTCTGGAGCTCAGCTGTGGCCTTTTTATCCCTGTTGTCCTGGCTGCCTTTCCCAGGCTCTGATTTCTTCCTGCCTGAACAATGGAAAGTTTTAAAGAGGCTGGGCTGTGGCCTGGGGCCCAGCACTCTGTCAGAGGCAGCTCCCACCTTCTGCATTGCAGCCTGCTCAGTTGGTTAGGGCATGGTGCTGATAGTGCCAAGGTTGCAGGTTCGATCCTTGTATGGGACAGCTGCGTATCCCGCATTGCAGGGGTTGGACTTGATGATCTTCAGGGTCCCTTCCAACTCTACAATTCTGTGATTCTATGAGGCTCTTGGTGCGGTCAGTCCCTCTGAGGAATTTGACTTGGGGGTGTTGTCTCAAGCTCAGGAAGCTGCTAGCTGATGGGCTTAACGGCCTGGTGTCAGAGCCCAGCTTCAGGTTCAGCATCTCTGTGGCTTATGTCGCTAGTCCTTATGATCTAGCTAGTGGTCCCTCTTCAGTGCCAGAGTCTTGGCTGCTGCTCATGACCCTCTCCTGTGGACAATCCCATGAAATGTTTTCCTGTTTTGTTTTTTGTTAGGACTGTAATTCTGGATGCACTGACGATAAAGTAGTTTGGGTTTGTTTTGCATCTTGAGTTTCAGAATGTATTTATACATGTGATCCCACACATCGGATTTTTGTTCCACATCTGCCATCTCTCTTGAGAGTTCAGGTGTGTTCAAGCCATGCTGAGCACTTCACACATCATTCTTGAATTAGAAACACATTTCCAAGCAAAGTAATCGCATCCTCCACCCCCACTTTTTAAACTGCTTTCTCTTACTAGCTTGGTTTCTATTTTTGAGGCCTGTTTATTGTCCAGTTTCAATTTGGTTGGTGTCTTTTAGTTTCTATTAAAAATGCCCCTTGCTTTAACTCTTTTGTGCATTTTCTAGTGGAAACAGATGTCTGTGAATCGCTTAAGAATGTTCATAGCAGGTTTACAAACAGCTTCCTACCTGGTTACCTGCGATAAGTATAAAAGCATCTCTGGGCAGCTAGAGCGGGACAGCATTTGTAAAATGGTGTTTCAGGTGGTCCCCGTGCCATAAATGTGTAACACAGACAAATGTAGGCAATATACCTTTTTAAATGGAACAATAGAGTGGTACCTCGGGTTAAGTACTTAATTCGTTCCGGAGGTCCGTTCTTAACCTGAAACTGTTCTTAACCTGAAGCACCACTTTAGCTAATGGGGCCTCCTGCTGCCGCCACATCGCCAGAGCACGATTTCTGTTCTCACCCTGAAGCAAAGTTCTTAACCCGAGGTAATATTTCTGAAGCGTATGTAACCTGAAGCGTATGTAACCCAAGGTACACACTTATTTGTTTTATTTGCAAAGCTGGCTTGCAGTTAGAAGTCACTATGCCTTCTGCTTTAGAATTGCTGCAAATTGTCATTGCAGGGTAATCCTAACAGAGGTGTGGGGAAGACTGGGGCATCAGAGCAGGATTTGATGCCCTGTTGACTCCTGATCAGCATGGGGTTATTTCCCAGATTTTGGTGTTGTGCTGGTTCCAGGCTGGCACAGCAGAAGGTCCCAGATTGGTCCTCTCTCTGGCTGAATTCCATACTAGTCCAGCTCCCAGTCCATGGCCCCTATTCCACCCCCAGAATGCTCTGTTTCCCCCTACCCTTAATCTTCCTACTCCTGGTGGCAGCGCCTCTGGTGGTAGGCGCCTGTCCACTTGATCAAAGGCTGGGTAGTTGGAACCTGCACATCAGCACCATTCATCCCCCACTGAGAAGCTGGTGGAGAGGAACCTGTGCTTCATCCTAAAATCCCCAGCTCCTAGCCACCAACATGGTGGTTGTAGTTTGGACTGCAGGTAGAGCTGCTGTTCCTACATTTGCTATCTCATGGGTGTATGATGAGAATGGGGTCTTTCTGGCAGACCCGGCGCCGGGAGGTAGCAGTGTTCAAAATTAGCCAGGCGCCAGGTGTATTTAGCACCTGGCTTTCAACCACTTGTGACCAAGTGAGGATGGATGGTGCCTGACATCTCCACCGTCTGGAGGTGTGTGCTTGGGGATCCTTGGATCCTGACTGTTTTCACACACTTATACCACATCCTGTAGAATTTTTATATTTTATCTGCACAATTGGAATGAATTTCTGGAACCAAAATGTTTTGGGGGTTTTTTTTCCTGTGCAGCCTGAGCAGGAGGAGACAGAGGTTGGGCTACCAGGGGTCAGCAAACTTTTTCGGCAGGTGGCCGGTCCACTGTCCCTCAGACCTTGTGGGGGGCCAGACTGTATTTTGAAAAAAATAATAATGAATGAATTCCTATGCCCCACAAATAACACAGAAGTGAATTTTAAATAAAAGCACACATTCTACTCATAAAAACATGCTGATTCCAGGACCGTCCGCGGGCCAGATTGAGAAGGCGATTGGGCCGGATCTGGCCCCCGGGCCTTAGTTTGCCTACCCATGGACTAGACCAATATATATGTGGACTGTCCCTGGAGCAAGTGATGTTTCTTCCTTAAGTTCTCAGTTTGGGAGTGCCCTTGTTGAAGTCTGGAGGACAAGGATAGGCTGGGGGCTAGATCCTACTTTATCAAGCTACTTAGTAGGTCCCTTTTAAACTCCTTGTCACATGCCTGACTTAACAGTGGTTTGCCATTGCTCCTCACTCCCACTATGAAAATCATCCTTGACAGCAATCTGTTTGCTCAGACCAGCAGCCCCCCACCCCAGCCCCCAGCCCAGAAGCTCCCTACTGCTTAAGTTAGCACCTTGGTTCAGCTCCCTGCATCTTGGCTGCATTTTTGTTACAGCTCGTGAGGGAGTCATGGATTCCTCCACGAATGTCTTTCCCTCCCCAGCGTGAGTGTGATGATGCTAACAAGGCGAAGCGGTGTGAGAGCCTCTCTCTGGAGATGCCAGGCTAAACCTCAGCTGTGTGGGCAGGAGAGAGAGAGAGAGAGAGAAAACTTGACAACCACATTGCAGTTACATCCTGGAGACTGCTAATGCCAGGAAAAGTTCAGATTCATAACAATAACAGCAGCAGCAGCAGCTACAGTGCAGATCTGCAACAAGTGCATCTGAGGACAGTGGTAGGAAAAAAGAGGGGAAGCCATAACTTTACTTTTTAAATGGAAAGGATTAGACTTTCAGCCTCTATCTCAATTTTAGAGGGGTTTTTTTTGGTGGCTTATAATTGACAGAGCCATGGCTTTAAAAACCATTAGGCTTTCTGCAGTTTCGTACCTCATGGTTTTTGGATAAAAGAAGGCGATATCAGTAAATGTGGAAGAGGAGTTAATTATTAAAATATTTCCCCCTATTATATATGCATAACCACTTGATTAATTTCAAGTGCATCTCCTGATATGTGAGAACATGACACATGGTTTATTTATTTATTTTTTTAAAAAATCCTGCAGCATATGTTTTTATATTTCTAGAGCTAGGGATAAAAATAGAGCGAGAGCGCTTCATGCCAAGGCAATATCATTTCCCTTTCCCATTGTCCTCTCTTGTTGCCTTTCCTTTGGGCTTAGTTTTATGCCACATGGTACTTGTGGAAAAGAAACGTTATTAACAGAGAAGAGAGGAAAAGCTTGGTTGTGGCAAAATCAAAGAGGAGTACATGGTTGGCTGAGGTGACTAGGAGAACTCTAAATCGCCTGCAAGTATTTCACTTAATAAGTGAGTTGGCTTGATCCCAAGTTCTTACTGTTGCCCCTTGAACTTCCTCTAGCTAATTCTAACCCTATCTTGTCTACATGCTGAAGTATAGTTTCACTGCCAGCAAAGTCTTGAAAGGAGCCTGGGTTGGTGGAGCTGGTGGAGGCGAATGTTGTTTCTTTTGGTTTGTTTTTCATTTGTGCCTGATAATTTACTATGGCTGCAACCCTAAGCTTCTTGGAGGGGCAGCTGGGTGGCTGTTTTGGCACCACGTACCTCTCCAGAGTCACTTCCCTGATGCAGCGGTAGGAAGTTGTGCCACTATTGCTAAAGCACTCTTGGTATTCCAGTGGTGGTAAGAGCAAAAGGAGAGGGTGCTCTGGGGGCTTGTCAGGGGCAGATCAACGAGGACTTGAAGGACGTCGAGTTAACACTTGTATAGCTCAGTTGGTTAGAGTGTGGCGCTGATAATGCCAAGGTTGCAGGCTCGATCCCTGTATGGGACAGCTGCATATTCCTGCATTGCAGGGGGTTGGACTAGATGATATGCAGGGTCCGATCCAACTTTACAATTCTACGATTCTATGACTTTGGCTCTGCCCCTCATTTATATAAGATGGACCCCAGAATGGATTGTTTTCTCTCCCATTAAAAAGAACCATAAGGATTTTTTAAAAAATCATTTTCAGAAGATAGGGGGAGGCAGATAAAACCCCCTGCTCCATCCATCCTGGCCCATATGAGCCCCGCAAGGCTTAGGAAGTGACAGGTCTTCCCCGCCCCCTACAACCACCATCAGATTGCTCTGTCTGTGCCAACTCCTCAAGGCAGCTCACAGCGCATCTGCCTTGGTAGCTCAGTCGGTAGAGCATGAGGCCCTTAATCTCAGGGTCGTGGGTTCAAGCCCCACGTTGGGCAAAAGATTCCTGCATTGCAAGGGGTTGGGCTTTCAACTCTACAATTCTATGATTCAACAACTGCTGAAATACAATTATTTTTAGAGATACTTCCCTGCCTGTATTTTTTTTTAAAGCCCATTCTGTCAACAGATCACACTCCCAAAGAAAGTTTTGGGTGAGGCTCATTGAAGAAGCAAAGCATATTGAAGGAATTATAAAAGCGCTTCCCCACCCCTTCTCATTATTTCCCCTGAAAGGTGAAATGCGTAGGGCGTGAGGACTTGAAAAGCTGGGGAAAGTTTGTTTGGAGATGTGTCTGGTTGAGGTGGGGGCAGATGGGGGGGGAGGTGGGCTGCCTGCATTTACGCCCCAGATCTTAATCCCTTTTACAGTTGTCAGCGTGGCCTGGCAGAGGGTCTGGAGGCAGGGGGAAAGGCGGATAGAGTAGTCTTGAGCTGAGGGAGTTGTTGGGGCTGGGGTGGGGGAGGGTTAAGAAACACCTGTCCCAGTCCTGGCCCTGGTACCTTTGGGAGGAATGGGGATGACAGCTGGGCCGATGCTGAGGCGACTATCATCTGCTGCTGTTTGACGCACTCTGTCCACGGAACACACGATTAATGAGTCAAGGGAGGCCTATTGTGAGTGACAAAGACCCAGAGGCTTAAGTAGGGCTCTCAATCTTCTCTACCATCGTATTGCATTTTTCAAGTGGGGTTTGCGGGGGAAACATTGAGGCGCCGTCTAAAGCCACAATGCTTCTCTTTTTTTTCTTCTCCCCCAAACTGCTGCTGACCTTTGTCACACAGCTTTAACCCTTTGGCTTCTCTGGTTTGGGCTTTGGGGTTGAAGAGAAACCTCCTTTATATTGATTGCCTTCTCTCTCTCTCTCTCTCTCTCTCTCTCTCTCTCTCTCATGCCTTGAAAATATGCTGGTGATTGGTGAGGACATATAGCTGGAGGCAGAAGGTGCTTGGTTGTTGCTGGCCAAGTGTCACTGTTCCCCAGCAGTCTAATTAATATCCTCATCTTTTCAGTTTCCGGAAGTATAAGAAGCAAAGCTCTACCTGCCTCAGGAGAAGCAAAAGCTGCTTCATGTAGATTTTTCATCTATTTCAACAGCAAAAAATCCAAGCCACCCTTTATCCAAAGGCACCCCAGGTGTACCATAGTAAAAGTCCAATACAACAAAAGCGAGACACAGTCGATCATCTGAAGTTGTGGGTGTTCAGCTGGAAATGAGTGTTTGCTTTGTTGAAGCACTTCCTCCACACTCCCTGCAAAGGTGATGCTCTGCTCTTTAATGATTCAGAAAGCTGGTGGAAAGCTGGTTTGAACTTGCTATCTCCCTCTAGTAATGTGCTTTTTATTTTTCCTTCTTCCTGGGAGTATGTAGGACGGGTTTCCTGAAAAAGCTGCTTATTCCAGCCGCAGGCCAAGAAAATCCAGCACTTTTCTCCACTCTGCCTACTGTTTGCTTCATTACATGTTTGTCATGCTGTCTACAAAGGTTGTAAATATGTGCAGGCTAGGATGAGAACATGTTTGAATGAAAGGGAGCGCTGTTCATGTAGGTTCAGATAACGGAGGTTTTTACAGTACCCTGTTCGCTTTTAGTAAAATGTGCAATGAAGGCAGATATTACCATGGAAGAAGTAGCACACAATTGAATTTGGGTGCATGGCCCTTAAAATATTGCATGAATAGAGATTTCTTTTGCACATTGCCCTCTGCTGCACAACATAGGAATCCTTGCATAGCGCCGTTCATTGCCATCAGGACTTGATTCCAGCTGGCTGATGTTACACTGGCATCTGGGAAGGAGTCAGAGCCAAGTAGTGCCACATGACACAAACTGGGTTGCACGGAACTTCACCACTTCAGAGGCAGATTACTGAGACATCCAGTCAGACTGTGTGGCACTACTCCACAACGTTGATCTTGTGACACTCTGAAACCATCTTTTCAATAGCATGGTTTGCTTTCTTCTGTAGCTCGTGGTTTGCTTTGTTTGTGTGTGTCAACTGGAGTTATGTGTGTGTAAGCAATTGTTTTGCTGCTCACTTGCAGTTTGCTTATGAGATGTACTGTAGTGTAAAGGTAAAGGTAGAGGGACCCCTGACCATTAGGTCCAGTCGTGGCCGACTCTGGGGTTGTGGCGCTCATCTTGCTTTATTGGCCGAGGGAGCCGGCGTACAGCTTCCAGGTCATGTGGCCAGCATGACTAAGCCGCTTCTGCCGAACCAGAGCAGCGCACGGAAATGCCGTTTACCTTCCCGCCGGAGTGATCCCTATTTATCTACTTGCACTTTGACATGCTTTCGAACTGCTAGGTTGGCAGGAGCAGGGACCGAGCAACGGGAGCTCACCCCGTCGCGGGGATTTGAACTGCTGACCTTCTCATTGGCAAGCCCTAGGCTCTGTGGTTTAACCCACAGCGCCACCCACGTCCCTTGTACTGTAGTGTAGTTAGATCCTAAATTAAACTGTAGTTGGTAGATAAATATACAAAGGGCTCTGGTGTTGTATGCTGAAGGATGGACCACGTGTCCTTTGGTACCTCTTAGCTTTATGATTAATGAAACCACTTATAGCCAGTTGCTATTATACTTGTGAACTCTGATTTAGCTCTAATTACTGGCAGATAGCATGGAATAGCAGCTGAAGACACCCCCCCCCACCAGCCCAGGGGTTGTGCATCATCATGTGCATTCAGTCAGGCCTGAAGATGTAATACAGGTCAAAATGTGCTTGCAGCATCGCGTTTGCATTGTCTACATACATGGATAGATGCTTCTGTGCATAGCTATCTATCCCTTTCTGGATTGTGGCAATGGCCTACCTGTAATCTGAATATGCCTCCCATTTGTTCCCTCTTAATTCTTGTAAGACAGAGTCTTACTATGCTCTTTTGCAGCCTCCCCTTTTTGATCAGCTAAATCACATCAGCTCTGATGATCTCATTTCACCATAAGATGAGCACTTTTTGGCCTTTCTTCCTAATGGAGGTTCAGGCAACATCCTATAGGACAAAAACCATGAGCTACTTCTTAACAGCGTGTAGGGAAAAATACATCTTGCCTGCAGGAAAGCACTAGAGGAAGGATGCAGCCAGTCAGGTTTGAGTTAAAACAGCTTTGTGTAATTCATCTTGTTTGCTGCACCTCTGGTTTGTAAAAAGTTTCTACTCTCGTTAAAAATATATGAATCTTCTCTCCCTTCCGTCTCTCAAGTGCTTGGGAATAAATCCCACATGAAGGATCGCCTGTGCAGGGGGGAAAAGTGAATGATGCTAGATGTGATTGAAATCAAATTGCACTTGGATAATATTACTTCCATTTGTTGACTTGGTTTTTCAGTGTTTTTAATGTGTGGGGAATGAGGTTTTGTGTGTGTCTTGATGGCACCTAGTATATAGGTGTTTCCATTTCAGATTAATATGTCATCAACTCTCCCCCCCCCCGCACCAGCCCATCCATGTGCTTTTAACCGATGCATTGTTCAGCACACACTGTATCCTCCACGTGCAAGTCCATTAAAGCAATATTAAATTTTAAAGCTTGTGCATAGGTTGGCTGGAAATCCTGCACACACATCTTGGCCACGTATTGTTATGCAAGTCAGCTGTGTGCTTAAAGTCTCATTCCTCATGGCTGGCCTATTGTCCAGGGGATGGTCCTGTCTCTATAGGAACAGTGCCAGCTGGCTAGCTAGCCGAAGCAATGTCAGTCTTTTCTTTGAAGGCCAGTGCTTATGCCTGCAGGGGCAGCATATTACTGTTCCATTTCCTTTCTTTCTTTTTTTTAATCATCTGTTCTTACCATAATAGCACAGTGCTATGATAGCAGGATTTCCAAACGGCTGGGAACTACTCTAGAATAACTGTATTTTACAGCACTGTGTTTTGCTGCTGTGGAACCACTGTCACTCTTACTAGCTAAGCAAATGTTTTAGTAACCTGGTGACAGATGATAGGGTTGGGTGGGTGTGTTTGGTAGCGTGTGTGTGGAGCGGTCTCCCTCAGGAGGTTGTGGACTCTCCTTTCTTGGAGGTTTTTAAGCAGAGGTTGGATGGCCATCTGTCACGGATGCTTTAGTTTAGATTCCTGCATTGCAGGGGGCTGGACTAAATGGCCCTTAGGATCCCTTCCAACTCTACAGTTCTATGGTTCTATGATTCCCACAAAGATTGCTGGGAACTGTGCTTTGTTAAGGGTGCTGAGAGTTGCTAGACCTCCTACACCCCTCCCAGAGCTACAGTTCCCAGAGTAATTCAGCAATAAATCCCCATTCACAGGGAACTCTGGAATTGTCAGATGATAAAGAGTAGTTTGATGGTGTGAACAGACAAACAGGATACCTGAGCATGACAATGTTGGTCAGGGCAAAGGTGGGGCTTGACTAGAGTTCTAGGACCTTGGATAGCTCCAAGCATGCAATTCAACTCTGTGACCGTAGGTGCTTTGTGCAACCCGGTTTGTACAGGACTAGAAACATTTTTTTTTTAAAGTTTCTCAGGATTCCAGGCTTTTGTACCAAAGCCCATATTCCATATCATATATTTTGTGCTTGCAGAACACCAGGAAGTGTATAATATATATTGCAATACCCCTTCAGTTATTTACTTAATGGGTAGTGTATGTGTATTTTAAATTTGAATGCAAGCTTCATGAAAAGTTTATGTGGTGATGGAAGAAATTGTACAGCAACTTCGGGCAATTCCTCTAGCAGATAAGACTCTTATGGAACTGCACCATGTCGGAAAAAGATATAACAGATTTGCATATTCATTATAAATGGGGTGCAAGTTTCTTGACTCTGTGCTATTGCTGAGGGGATTAACAGAGACAAAGGTCCCCACGCAGAAAGTGCTATAAAAGTATTTGCCTGGGCACCAATAAAACCTGAAATGTTAATGTGTGAACTGTTCGATCATACATCTCACACACCAAGCAAGAGTGTGGTTGTTGTTGATATGTAAAAAACCAATATATGCATGCTGCCATGACTGCACTCTGGGATT